AGACGATGTTACTCGGTGAGTTTCTGAGGTGGTTCGAGCTTGAGACGGCCAGATCCGGTGGAAAAATGGCTGTTTTCGTACCTTGCGAGTTGACTCGGACGAGTTGACTCATTGAGTTAACTCAGGTTTTTTTTTTTAACTCGGCGACGCAGCGACTCGACGGCTCGATGACAAGGCTAGGTTTGTGGAGAAAAACTGACTTCGATCGTTGCTTATTGGTGCAGCGGAGAGGAGAATTGAGTTGCTTGTTCATTGCTTTGGAGTTACTTCGTTGAATTCGTCACTAGAGATGTCAGACAATGCGAAGAAACCATCTGCTCGTGAGAGGAGAGCTGCCGAGGCCAGGACAGATTTGAACACGAGAGTGTCTCAACAAGCTAGACTGTTGACGTCAGTCCCCAGAGCTGGCACTACTGGAATCCTTGCACCTAGGCCGCGTCGTCCTGAGTTAGAGCGAAATGTTGTTGTCGTCACCGATCGTCGATCTGAATCATCGCATAGGCGTCACGATGACATGAGGGGAAGGGATGATCATGCAGGAGCAAGTCGTATGCGTTCGCGAGAAGAGAAGGAGAAAGGCAGTTTTGGCAAAGAGGACTTGAACAGATCGAGGCACGCTTCAACTCCTCGATGTGATCGTGTGGTGACGACTTCCACTATTCCTTTTGGTACGAAGGAGTCCTTTGGTGATGCTGCGCGGGCGGAGTCGCATTTGTCCCAGATTGTCTTCCAAGGCACTGAGTTTCCCCCTCCAGGAGAGATGTCGAAGAAGATATCTTACTCAAGCATGGCCTTCGATTGTATGACGGTACGACTTCATGGCAACTCTTGTGGGATTGCGACGATCATAGGAAGCAGAAAAAGGATGCAGAGGATCGCGTTACTACTCTCCAAGCTGCTATGAAGAAAACCGAGGATAGGCGTCGCAAGATGGATGGGACGTTCACGGAGTCTGAATCCGAGAGGAAGCGTCTTCAGAAGGAAGTCTGTGACCTTACCACCCGATTAGAT